TGCTAGCCACAGCGTTCAGACAAGAAGAAATAAAGGGCATCCAAACTGGAAAGGATGGAGTAAAACTGTCATTGTTTGCAGATGACCTGATACTATACACAGAGAACCCTAACGATTCCACAAGAAAAAAAAAACTATTAGAAGTAATCAATGAATTCGATAAATCAGTAGGGTACAAAATAAATATTCAAAAATCAGAATCAGGGGCCTTTTTATACACCAGGAATGAACTCTCAGAAAGAGAAACTAAAAAAACAGTCTCATTTACAAGTGCAACCAAAAAAAAAGAAGAAGAAGGTGCCTGGGAATAAATATAACGAAGGAGGTAAAGGCCTGACTCAGAAAATTACAGGACACTGAAGAATGAGGGCCAAGAGGGGCAGCACATTAGGTCATTTCTGTCTTCACTGTGGTTTCTACGGGAAGGTGGGGTGGTCCCCACTTGCCTGCAAATCAGATGCGAGCCTGCCCGCGTGCTTGTCCGCTAGGCTGTGGCCAGACTGGACTCGCTGCTGTTCCCTGAACATGCTCGGTGCCTCGCCTCCCCACCTCTGTGCTCTGGCGCCTGGGGACAGTGGCCGTGTCTCTGGCTGTCTAGTCCACCGGACCGACCAGACCCCGAGCCCCGTGACTCTCTCTCTCTCTTTCTCTAACAGTGGACGGGGCGCAGTACCAAATAAAGTGTTCACAATTCCAAGAAGCCACAGGGCCAACAATGTTGGTTCGTGCCTGGAAGGTTCCAAAATGCCAAGACAACTGGCGGCCTGGAGAGGCTGTAACATGGGTTCACACCCAGGTGGGCAGGTGGAGACAGATGACTCAGTTACAAGTGTGAATAAAGCTACGCATCCCTTCCGTTTCTGTGTTGAGAAGTCGCTTTCTGACTTGGGCTTGAAGGGCAGGACAACATCTTCTAAAGCTGGTGTCATAGCTCAGATGCCTTCAGGCGACAGTCAAACACATCAATGCATGGTGCAGGGCACCTGAGAGACGTGCTAAGCGGATGTTTAAACCTCATGAAGCCCTGACCGCTGACAAGACAGAATGTCTGCCTCCGTGGTCGGTGCCCAACTAAAGGCCTACAGCGGCCGCCCTTCCAGAAGCAAAGGTAGTCTTTGCTTATAGTTGGGGAAAGGTTTTGTTTCTCCTGTTTGCTCACTTACGTCATTGTTTTAGAGAAGTCATTGAGCGAAAACAAGAGTGACAAATCAAAAAGCTAGACAGTGCCTCACACGCATGCCTGCGCTGCGACGGCAGCACACACGACCGCGAGCAAGCGCGCACAAGCACCAGAGCAGGTTGGCGGCACCGGCAGCTCCACACCTTCATCTCGGCGAGCCTGCTTTGGGCTACGTCGTAGGAAGCTGATGAAGAGCACAGGAGGGCCGCATGGAGCAGCGCAGTATTCCAGCCATTGACCGTACAGTAATGTCTCCACGAGGGGGAGAATTCCCAGGACATTAGCATCGTGATGGCTGGTGTCCAGCCCTTGACCCACGGGCCGCATGCGGCCCAGGATGGCTATGAATGTGGCCCAACACGAAACCATAAATTTACGGGAAACCTTTTCTTCGCTTCTCAGTTTTCATTAGTGTTTGTGTATTGAATGTATGGCCCAAGACAACTCTTATTCTCCCAGTGTGGCCCAGAGACGCCAAAAGGTTGCACACCCCTGGCTTAGAACATGGCCTTGCATGTTCTAAAGTCCAAGTCCAACAAGGGAAATGGGAATAAATGCAAGAACCTCAAAATGGGGGTGTTTAATAGAGACAGTTGGTTGACAGGTGACAGGAGAGCCAGGAAGGCAGGAGTACGGTGAGTCACCCCCAAACTGGCAACAGCGGAAAGACACGGCCCCCCTTAGGGACACGGGGCAAAGAGGAAGCAGCAAAGGTCCCAGAGGCTATGGGCCACTTAGCAGATGCCAGGGTCATGCCGGGCCTGCCGGGTGGCCGCAGGGACCATGAGCAAAGTGGCTTTTCCGGGAGGAAGTGGAGGCGTAGAGGAGACACCCCCTGAAGGGCAGGAAGCGAACAACCCCGGCGTCTCGCCCACGCCTGCCTCCCCGTCTTCGGCCAGCGCACCCCTCTGGCCAGCCCGCCCGTGGCGGCTGGAGGACAGAGGTGCCTGGGAAATGTATGCGGACCCCTGCTGTTCAGAGCAGCGCCCTTTACTGTCTGGGGGGCCAAGGGCGGAGCACCCAAGCTCCCTAAGCCTCAGCCTTCTCACTCGCAAAGCGGAGATGACGTTGCCGCAGTAACAAATAAAACGGGGTAATGAAACGGTGAAATAGCCGCGCACCCCCCCCACACACACCCCATGTGACGATGAAGAGCTGGAACCCTGGCCTCCCTCGCTGGGAGCCCGGGGTCACGACCTTTAAGCCACCTCGAAACCGCTGGGCAGCCCTCATGAGCCGTCCTTGCTGAGGACCCCTGGTGACACACGGGTCCCACGGCAATTTGCAGGTCCCAACTCCGTGCTGCGTCTTTAACCCACAGGGCTTTCCCTGTGGCATGTAGTACTTCCTGAGCTTCGCGGCTGAGGAACAGCCGCTCAGAGGCTCCGGCCGCCTCCTCCCGCACATGGGCCTCACGCAGGCAGAGCTGCGAGAGCGCACGGGAAAGCCCCTCGCTCCAACCCGCGGGCTGTGCCCCCCACGCAGAGCTAACCCTTGACCGGGAACTCGGGTCAGCCAAACCTCTGCTCCACGCGGTAACAGCAGCTTTCAAAGACATTAGAGGAATATCGGACATAAACAAAAAAGTGAACTCTCTCCTCTCAGCCTAATCAACACGGAAAAGACACCGACTCAGAGTCGGGAGAAAACCCGGGCCTCCGTCCCAGGAGTTTGTGGGTCCTGCACTTCCAACACCCCGTGACGCGAGGGGGCCCCCCGGCATGGGCCCCGCCCTTGTTGGTGCCCTCAGACCCTCCAGATGCACTTAACTGTCAGATAAAAACATGTAACTGCTATTACTTGAGAGGCTGGAAGTATTCTTCATGTTAAAAGAAAGGTATAATGAGCCAAGATGAAGGCAAGCCAGTTACCAGTGGCTCCCTGAGGGAGAAGAGAGGCAAGGAATGCCATCTCGTTCTTCTGTCGCTTGAAGTTTTACCACAAACCTGCATCACATTTGTAACAGTGTAAAAATACAGACATGTTCCTTACCACCCGTTTTGTGAGTGGGGAGGGGGCTGCTCCACAGTCCGGTCTTCAACCCCCAGCTCCCAAATTGGCTGACAAGGAAAAGGGGCTTTTCTTCCCAAAGGTCCTCTTCTGAAACAGGGGTGTTGCCTTAGAAATGCCTCCCAGTCTCAGGAGGAGCGGGTTAGAGCAAGGATTCCCTGGGAGGGTCTGTTTTCTGCGTGGAAAAGCCAATCCCCAGGAGTGGCCCGAGGCTCTGCCCACTCCAGCCCGCACCTGCCGGCAGCGGGTTCCGATGCGACGCAGCAGCCGCCCCGCGCCCCCCGCCCCCCGCCCCCCACCTCCATCCTGTGGACGGCACGGGACACTCACCCACAGGCAATGCCCAGCCCACCCTGTCCTTGGCTTCCATGCAGAACTTAGGAGGAACGTTGGATTTCAAAGAGACAAAGTGCCTACAATTCCAAATTCTTAAGTCTGCTACCTGAATTTGGCCCTCAACATGCACGACCTCCCTTCTGCGTTTCCGCAGCCCTGGGCTTGAGCCCTCAGCATGCTGCTCGTCCAAATCTGCCCTGTGCAGTTCATTTGGGGGGGGGTCCATCTGCCTTCCTCTCCCGGCAGCTCCGTGAGGGAAAGAGCCAGATGGGGTCCCTCCCCTCCTCTATCCCGAGCGCACGGCGCTTGTCTCTCTCTCCAGCAGGTGTTCAGAGTTTGCTCACGGACGCCGACGGCTGCTCCGGGACCCGGAGCACACACCCCGGGGGCCGGTGTACCCCGAAACAGTGGTGGAGTCCTCGTAGTTGCTGTCACATAAGGCAGCAGCCAGAAATGTCGGGGTGACTTCAGCTCCCAGTGAGTCTATCGACAAAACAACCCATTGACTGGATTCCTTAACGTGGAAGTCTAATCATTGATAAAATAAAGAAAGCAGTTGGCCCACTAAATATTGACTCCGTATCCACAGGACATCACCTGCTTCCTGGACTTCCTTGCATGGTCATGAGCCATGAGTAACCAGAGGTCCCCACTGCATCTTCTTAAGCCCCTCATTTGCATAGGAAGTGTCACCCACAAGGAGGAGATGCCAGGCCCTCCAGTCTAGCACCCCAGCATGCTCCTTCTCTGATGAGGGAAAATGAGACACCTTCTTGACTCATGAATGTGGCAGTTTTCAGACAGCAATGAAGGGTGAGCTGTGCTTCGCCCAAGTCACGGCACCCCGTGATGGCCGGGGGGCACCGGGTCAGGGCCTCAGGAACGCGGCCCATTTCTCCTCCCTTTCTTCATCACCCAAAAGGTGATCCTGTTTTACCTCAATTTCAGGTGTACCTGTGCGGCCTCAGGGTGTGACCCAGCCCGAGTTTACACCTAGTTCTGAATATGTCCTGGGCTGGACGGATGAGGTTCCCAGGTGGCTGCAGACACTCCCAGGACTTTAGGGAGGAGGCAGAAAGCTCGGAAGTCCCGTAGCGAGGACCAGTCAGCTCCCAGGGACATGCCCCAGGTCTGATCGGAGAAGAGGCAGGTGCTTCCCGTCTACACCGGCAGCCAGATCGGAGTCAACCCAGGGCCCACTCCCGGAGCCCCAGGGCATGAGGACAGCTGTGTGCTCATCTCAAACTTTGCTTCACCCCCTCGGTTTGTCGCTAACCTCCGGCTTGGTGGGTGCGGTCTGCATGGTAAGAGGCATCGGCATGAAGCGCCAGGGACGACGTCATGCTGTCATCACTGTGATATTACAGGAATTGCCACCATGGCTCACTCTGCCTATGGCTGGGACCTGGGGCCTTTATAAAGTCAACAAGCACATCCTCCCGGCCAGTCGCCGTGCGCTGTGAAGCCATCGACCATGAGGATCTTCTACCTGGTCTTTGCATTGCTGCTCTTGTGCCTGACACCTGTTCCAGGTAGGACGGGCTGGGAGGGAGAGGGTGGAAAGGATGGGAGGCATGTCATTCAAGTCTGTCCCTCCTCATTCCTCAGGAAACCATAGACCACGTAGTTTTGTTGTGTAGGAAAGAGATACCAATCTTCTTCCTGACAAGGATCAGGAAACTGAGAGCAGGTTTCCCAACCTTTTTTTGATCCACGATTTTTTTCTGTTTTTTCTTCCCTTCAACTTTATTTTGTTCTGGTTTTATGTGTACAAGACAATTACATACTTTACAAAGTGATTCCCTTGATATTTCCAGAACCCCAACTGGCACCTCACACAGTTACCGCAATTACTATTGATTTTATTTCCTATGCTTTACCTACTTCCCCGTAACTGTTTTGTAACTACCAGTTTGTGCTTCTTAGGCCCTTACCTCTCCCCCCTCAGCCCCCCAACCCCCCAACCCCCCAACCCCCACCCCCTTAACAGACTAGGTAGCTCACAAAAGACACCTTTTTATGGAAAGACATACCTGATAAAGGATGTGACACCAACATTTTAATACCAGCAGAAAACACCAACCTAATCTGAGAACAGACGCACAGGCTTCCATCCTGTTAGCTTAGTGGTTGGAGGAAGCGTCTTGGGGCCCTGGAGCCGTCCCGGCGACCACGGCCGGCCCAGCCCTTCTGCATGTCCCTTACTGTGGGCGCTCCCCATGGGCACACTCGCCAGCGCCGTGGGGGGCTCAGAGCTGATCCATAGCCCTTAGCTACCTTGTTGGTTGGGTGCCTGGTGCCACCTTCTACCTGACACCTGGTTTTATAAAACAAGAAATAAAGAAATAAAAAACATAATAAAAGACAACAAATTGGTTCCTTGAGGAATTCCGAAAGTCCTGCACTTATACCCACCGCCCTCCCAGAACCCTCCGACTTACTCCACTTTGTCTTGGCAGGCAATGCAGGGCTCATAACCAGAGTGCAAAGGTATTTTTGCAAAGTCAGGAACGGCCGCTGCGCGGCGCTGACGTGCCTCCCGAAGGAGGAACAGATAGGCACCTGCTCTCTCCGTGGCCGGAAGTGCTGCCGCAGGAAGAAGTGACCGACCCAGGACACGCGGAGAACGCCGTCGAGGGCAAAGACACCTGCTGGGACTCTGTCCGTTCGATTAAATATTTTTTCAAAAAAAAAATTGCAGGTTTGTGTTTTTAAAATCCTGGTCATGGTGGTCGCTGTGCCACATCGGCTCCTTAGAAAGTGTGCGTGACTCACCTGTAATTCAGGTCAAGTCTAATCTCTAGAGAAGCCACAGGGGCCCTGAATGAGCCGCCAAGGGCGGTTCCTCTTTTGTCAATTTCACACCCCGGGGAACTCGGACCCCTTGTTTGCCCTGAAACACTCTGCTGTGTTGTCACCCAGGGCTGTGAGCTCTCCCCTCTCTACCCGACTCAGCACCGCCCCATCAGCTCTGTCTCTAAGACGTCGCTGCGTCCCCCCGGGTCACCCCAAATCCTGCGGAGCAGCTGACGCCTCAGAGAAATGGGGGCGCCGGGCTCTCCTGCAAACGACGCCCCTGCGTTCCTCTGACCCGTGTCCCGCTCTGGCCGACCTCCCGCCCCACGCGTGATCTCTCTCCTAGCTTGTTCTCAAACGTTAGCCCGTCCCCGAGGAGCCCTCCCAAATTCTGCCTCCTTGAAAACACAGCTCGCGCTCCAAGCAAGTACGGCCGCCCCTGTGATTCAGCACGGGGTCCGCCTCCAGCGCTCGGTCTACAGTCCTGCTTGACTTTTGCATCGTGTGCTTGTGCCCATTTCCAAGCTTAATATCTGACCCACCGTGAAGGGCACGGACCTTGTCTCAGCCGTGTGGACCCTGCCTCGGAGAGGGCCTGGCATCAAAAAAGGATTAATTTCTCTCCCTCTCTTTCCCCCTCCCTTCCGCTCTCTCAAATAAATAAATAAATAAATAAAGTCTTAAAAAAGCAGAAACAAGCCCTGGCTGGGCTCAGTGGGTTGGGCATCGTCCCCCAAAGTGGAAGGTCGCCGGTTTGATTCCCAGTCAGGGCACATGGCTGGGTTGCAGGACAGGTTCCTGGTTAGGGGCGTGCAAGAAGCAACCAATAGATGCTTCTCTCATACGCTGGTATTCCTCTCCCTCTCTTTCTCCCTCCCTTCCCCTCTCTATAAAATAACGTATAAATAAAATCTTAGAAAAGGGTTCGCGGCTATGGGACCCGCCCTCCCAGGGTTTGCAGCTGGAGAACCGGACACAGGTGTGCAGCGGCGTTTTAGACCCCAGGCAGCAGCAGAGCAAGACTGTGAGGAGAGGCCTGCAGCATCTCCCACCCACGAGGTTCCAGGCCAGCAGACCAGCGCTCCTCTGAGTCGAAGCAGCCGAGGACTCTGCCGGCAAGAGGCACCCCCATTTCCAGGGCAGGGAACCGGGAGGAGCCCCTAGACGTGGAGCTCCTGGGGGCTGCAGAGAGGGCCCGGGGAATCTTGGCCTGAGCACTGAGCCGAGCAGGCGTAGGGTGCAAGTTCACAAGCCAGAGGAAAGCAGCCCCAGGGACTAGAGGAACGACTCCCAGAAGCACACAGGCTGGAAAGGGCGTGTTTCCACCGGCAGAGGGCACAGGCCACAGGCCATCCTCAGAAAGCAGCTGCGTTAGGAGTAGGACCGCTGAGCTCTGGAGTAACTCTATGTAACTGCTCTGAAACTCTGCTGACAAAAACCAGTCCCGAGAGAATCAAATGGATCTGCAAACAACTTCAACGTGAGCCAGAATGACTCTAACATTCTTGTAAGGAAAACAGCCAAGTCCGCCACTCAACAATATAAGCTGTGTAATATATGGAGTCCAATCAGAAATGCTAGGCTTGCAAAGGAGCAGGAGCGTATGGTCTATGACCAAGAGAAAAATCAATTCGTACAAACAGGCCCTGGAACGGCAAAGACGACAGAATTGGCAGCAAGGAGCTCGACAGTGTTGGCAACAAGGAGCTCGCAAGAACGGTTACCAATCTTATAAATGGCTCCAAGTTTGAGGAGGGGGAAAAAAAAAAAAGCATCGTGCTGAGGAGATGAGTGAAAGCTACGCAGAAGCAGATGGAACCTTCCACAGATGAAAAATAGTATCTGAGTAGAAACTATGCTGAATTGGATTAACAACCGATGACGTGGCAGAAGAAAAGATGAGTAAACCTGAGCCTGGATTAAGACAAACCAAATGAAGAAATGAAGCACAGAGAGATGAAGGAAAGGCTAAAAACAAGTCAACAGTGGCCTGCAGGAAAAACCAAGCATCCGTGATACGTGTGTGGAGCCAGAAAGAGGGCGGGTGAGGGGAGATGCAGTTGAGGAAAGAATGGCTGCCATTTTCCAAATCCGATGGGGCTATCAACCAAAAAGGTCAGTGCTCAGAGGCATTAAGCTGACTAAACAAAGAAAACCACACTAAGCACATCACAACCCAATTCCCCAGTGGATCAAGAGCAAACCTGAAAAAGTGGCCTGAGAGAAAGACCCATTAAATTCAGAGGAACAAAAAAAGAGAAATTACAGCAAACTTTTCACCACACTCTAAGAGAGCCAGAATGAAATGAGGCAACGCTGATAAGTACCAAAAGGAAAAAAATTGTCCACCTAGAACGCCATGCCAGAAAAATATATTTCAAAACTAACAGTAAGATGGGCTCTGGGTGATGAGGATAGGCCAGCACAGGTTTATCCTTTCAGCAAGACCACCGTCCGGTGCGGATGCTGGTTATAGGAGGCGGTGCGGGGGGCGGCGGGGGGGGGGGCGCGGGAGGCGTATGGGCAATCTCTGTTCCTTCCCCTCAGTCTCGCTGTGAACCTAAAACTGCTCTAAAAAAGTGAGGTCTATTCTTCAGAGAAGAAAAAACTTTTTAAACAACAGCAAGAAATCTAAGGAAATGCCTCACCTGCAAAAGCTGACACTATTTTAAAAAGAAGGAGGAAGAGGAGGAGGGGGAGGGAGAGGGGAAAAAGAAGAAGAAGAATTTCTTTAGACAAAAGGAAAAATGAAGCCAGATGGAAGTCTGACTCTACGGGATGAAATTAATTCTGCTACTAAGAGTCTAGACACTCACTTTTAAAGGAAGAGATTGTAAATTCAGTAAAAAATGAGACTTAGATGCATGTTCTTTATTTAAAAAAAAAACACTTGAGATATCAAACATTAAGAAAGAGGTAGATTTAAAATGAAAGAATAGGATCGGATACGCTTTGGAAAAATTAATTAAGAAGGGAGATTGTTAGGGTCAGGATGGCGGGGACAGGTTCCCAGTGCAAGCCCGCTCACCACGCGGGGAACGAAGCGACCGCAGAGACATGGCGCACCGGTGACAGGGACTCCTTCACGACACCCTTCCGCGCCCCGCCACAGCCCGCCAGAAACTCCCCGGGGACGGCCACCACCACCCTGACACCTGCTGGCACCCACCGCTCCCCCGGAAGGTCCTGGGGGACACCGGGAGACCTCACAGGGCGTGAGGTCACGGATGCCTTCAGAACAGGGCCCCACCGACAACAGAGAGGATGTGAAGCACATGCCGTTCCTTCAGGGGGCCCCTACTGGCTCCGAATGAGAAGGAGAGCCCAGCTTGGACACGTTTGAAGAGAGGATGCGTCGCTGGCTCTCAAGCACTGGTGTTGGTACAGCTGGATGTCACCTGAGTACCTGAGTGGCCCCAGGCTGCAAGGGCTGTCCTTGCTTTGTGATACAGAGACTCCAAGGAGACAGGTGTGGTCATTGTTTCCTCCTCTGTTTTTTCTCTCCGAGGACGAGAATCAGAGCACGTACCTGTGCCATCACCTCCCACACGGGATGAGGGTGAAAGTTAGGAGATTTCCACATGACTGTCCCCGTCCGTGGCAGCCTGAGAGGCTCAGGCCCTCCTGCCTCGTGCCCCTTGCAATTATTGGGGAAAGACCTGGCTCCTAATGTGACCTGGGACTGTGCAGAAAGCACAGCATCGGAAGATCCGAAGTCCCACAGGGCAAGCAGGAGAGCCCCGGGAAGCCTGTTTCCGTATCGACACAGCCCTGCCCCGTCCCGGCCGGGCCCGCCTGAACTGCGCAAGACAAGAAGACATCTGGTCCCAAAGGCGGGAAGTGTTCTCCAGGAGTTTCCCCATCCCGATTTGCATAGAGAGGACTAGGGATGCTTTGTTCTCTAAGGGACTTTCTCATGACACACAGGTGAGGTGAACAATCTAATTGCTCTGAAATCACTGGAGTTGCAGCCCATGCTGAACCCTGCTGGAACCTCGAACTGTATATAAGGAGCGAAGCTCAGCTTCCTCTCCAGCCAGCCGCCAGCCGCCAGCCGCCAGCATGAGGATCCACCAGCTGCTGCTTGCGTTCTTCTTTGTGTTCCTGCTGTCTGTGTCAGGTGAGAGGGCAGAACGAACGAGGCAGCCGAACAGCTGGAAAGGACAGGGCCCTAATCGCTCTCCCTCTCCTCTCTCCTTCTCCTCCCTCCGTTCCTTCTCTGACTTCTCTCTTCTACGCACACTGTTAGACCAAAGAGAGTGTCTGACTCGCTCATGAGATCCAAGCGCCTTGCCCATCGCCGCCGTGGGACACGGCGCAGAACCTTATACTGCAATCCGCAGCCCTTTCCGAGCCTCCCCGAAGGCGCCGCCAGCTTCTAAGTCATCTGCTCGCCGTTCTCCAAGAGCGGATGCTGCCAACAGAGCAAGTCTCCGTCGGTTGGCTTTTCTTGTTTAACAAAAGCAAGAAATCTGATTTTGTCCGAGGACAGAAGTGCAGAGTGTCACTTGCTAAGTCTTAAATTAAAGGGTGGCGTCTCCAGTAACCTAGAGAACAGCCAAGAATAGCCAGGCCCATCCTAGCCGTGGGCAGCCATTGTTTGGGGACACCTTCTTTGTGCCTTTGTCTCCTCAGCTTGAAAATCCCCAGGACACACCCCCGACAGGGCTACTCTTGGCTCAGGCTTGGAGCCGCCCATCCACGGAGGCCCTGGAAGCTAGATGCCCATGTCTGACTGTGTCCTCGGTGGTTCAGAAATGGACTAGAAGGAGGAAGGAAGAGAGGAGTCGGGGGGAGAGAGACGCATGA